AAAAACCTAACGCCCAGGTTAATAAGATGGGCTTTTAAACTTCAAGAATATAATCTCATAATTAAATATAAACCGGGTAAGAAAAACAATGTAGCTGACGCACTTTCTCGTATAAAACTGGACGATGAAGGAAATGAACTCAAATGCGCTGTGTTGACTTCAAAATTTTAGATTCTAGAGAAACAATTATTGCTGAATTGAAAGCTGATCCTGAATTTGGAAGTATCTATGCATATTTGAAAGACCCCGAAAGCTTTGAGCACATAGATATCGATGCGATAAGAAATAGAGCAGAAAACTATGAAATAATAGATAGTAATAGATAATAGCAGAAAACTATGAAGTAATAGATAATAATAGATAATAGCAGAAAACTATGAAATAATAGATATTTTATACGAAAACAACAAACGAAAATCTCGAGTACAAACCAGTCATCCCAGCCTCGCTTCGATTAAGAATCTTGAAGGAATTACACGACGCGAAACCAGCAGGTCATTTAGGGGTCAGAAAGACTTTAAAAAGGGTACGCGAGGCGGTATATTTCCCGCATTTATACAAAATAGTAACGGCGTATGTCAGGTCCTGCAATCAATGTCAGTTAATAAATGATATTAATTACAGCCCGGCCGGGGGTAGGTACTTAAATAGCATTCGCGCTACATTTCCGAATGAAATTTTAGGCATAGATCTTCTTGGTCCTTTCCCTCAGAGTGAGTTAAATAAAAATCGTTTTCTTTTAGTAATTGTAGATCATTTTTCAAAATGGACAGAAATTGTTCCACTTAAACGCGCGTCAGCCAAAACAGTCGCAGATGCATTCTTACACAGATACATTTTAAAATACGGTGCACCGATAAAAGTCATTAGCGATAACGGTAAACAATTCGTTAGCCAAATACTTGAAAACATATGCACTGGACTTGGCATACGCCATATCAAAATGGTTCCGTATAGGCCACAGGCAAACATAGCAGAAAGAGTTAATAAATATATTGTAAAAATAATTCGAAGTTATGTTAGCACACATCACAAGCGCTGGGATGGCTACATAAATGAGTTAGCTTATGCTTTAAGAACGGCAAATCACGATACTACGGGAAAAACCCCAGCAGAATTATTTTTAGGACGGAAGTTAAATACGCCAATAGATAAATTATTCTTTGTGCAACAAAGAGGGCAAGAATTTAAACAGAAAGATGTGCAAACACTTATTGACCAGGCGGTTAAAAGCTCGGATACGGCAAGAAATAGACAAAAGTTATACTATGATATAAAACGCCGTGAAGCAGATTTTAAAGTTGGGGATAAAAGTGTTGAAGCGGAAATTTTCTTTATCAAGTGCCCCAGACAATTTTACTGCAAAGTTAGCTCCAAAATTTGAAGGCCCCTATGTAATTCAGGAAATCAAGGGAGTCGTATTGTACCTTAAGAACGAGAGAGGGGAGGTCTGTAAAGCAAGTCCCGACCAGGCGAAAAAATATTATAATCAAAATGATTTTGAAATCCTTAAAAGTTTCTTGCGGGACTCAAGCGTAAAAGAAGTAGAAGGTCCAGAAGTAACGTCAACCGTTCCACCACCCAAGAAGCAGAGAACTGAAGAGAAACCTAGCCCTTCTACAACCCATGCGACGGTACCGAAAAGAAGAAATGAAAACTTTCAGACTCCAGCATTTAAGAAAAACAAGAAAGCAAAGCCGCCGCGTAAAGAAACCTTGGTAAAGAGGAAAACACCACTTACAACGTATCGCAGTAGAAATTCTGCATCGAGGAGAACGCTTCCCAGGGCCACAGAGGTCAGGATGCAAACAAGGCCGCCGTTCCCGAGAACGAAAAGACAGCAGGAGGAACGAAAACACCACCACCAACAGAAGAAATTCAAGCATGATTCCAGACCGGAGGACGTCAAGACCAGCCGTCCAGGGGCAAAACGGAAAAGACAGCAACCCGACGACTACCACTGCAAGAGGTCAGCATGCAGAGGCCGAAAAAGAAAAAGCAACGTGGACGACACTCGAAGGACACTAAGGAGACGACTAACGTCGATGAAATCTATAACGTGGGAGCAGTTCTGCCAGAAGAGGATGTCGGAGTTCTAATCATCGAAAACTCAAAGATAAGTTAAAATCTTTTATAAAATTTTTTTCTTTTGTTCCGAAATGTTATGCGTAAATAGTTATGCGTAATAGTCAATGTGTCTCGGTTGAGACTTAGTTTTCTTTTACTTTATTTAGCTAAGGCAAAAGTATTATTTTCTTTAAGTATAAAATCTAAGAACAAGCAGTTTCTGTTGGCCGAAAGACTAATTCTGTTATGTTAACGCCAAAATTTGGCCGAAGATAAAAATAACTTCGTATTCTTGCATTAATAAGAACTTTAGTTTCAGTGCCGCTAGCTTGGCGAAGAATGAGTAAAGTAAAAATTTATTTTTCTCTTATTCATTTTATGGTAAATTGTAAAAATCATATGTATTAGAATTTTGTAAATATCGTAAATACTTGAAAGTTATGTAAAAGTAGAATTTAGTCTAGAAGAAGCATAAAATTTTAGATGCTAAAAGTAAATGCTCAAAAGCAATGAATTGAAATTTAAGTATTAAACTGTAGATAAAATCATGCTTTAGAGCGAAAGCCTGCATGTCTAAAGATGAATGAGGGTGAATTTAGAATGAATGTGTTTTTTAGGGTTCTCCACCTACACTTGAATTTTAAGAATGTTAAAATAGCCCATCGAGTTGTAGAATGTCGAGTAAGGTGTGTCTATTTGGTCGTTGAATTCTAACAAATCATTGTGGTTAGGGGAGTGTTGGAATACTAAAACAGGAATATTCCCTTTTGACACCACACATGGTGGAGAGCCAGGGTAAAGTTAAATTCATGTTTGAATACTTGAATGAATGTGAATTAAGCAGTAACTAAGGAAAATAAATCGTTCAAAAACAAAAACTTATTCAGTGTCAAGAAAGTGTAAATTATAATGTAGTTAGAAAGATACTGATACTTATTCCTTCCGGATGCTGGAAGGAAGAGAACAGATTGATTGCTGGAGTCAGGAAAAGTTGCTGTAAGAAGAGAGAGTTAAATAAGTATCTACAGAAATTTATTCTACCTTTTGTGAAAAAACAGTTTTTTTATGTAAACGAGGCTCTTAAAATTTAGTTCAGAATTGTGGAAACTTTTCAACAGGTCGTTTCTAGGACCTGCTTCCAAGTTTACCAAATTCTGGCAGCGGCAAATGTAGGGTTTATATTTATTTTAACTAACATTTATTTTAAGTTTAAACTATCTTTCCTGTCAAGCCTTACTTTGCCCTGGAATTGCCAATGCCAGAGTATGTAAATTTTAGTAGAACGCGCAAGGATTCAAATTGTTAGCGGAAGTATTCTGAGTTAAATAGAAGGGAAACGAGTTCGAAGCGGTGCTTTCTTGCTTCACGAGCGTGGAGGTGGCTAGTTAGAAATTGAAGAACCACGCGTTTCGGCGTGTGTGCTTGCCTCGGCAGATTGTTGAATCTTTCAACGTAATTCTTAACGTAATATTCAGCGTAATATATTCAGAAGTTTGCTGAATTGTCAGCGGTATCTCAGAACGCGGTTAGGTTAGTTACGTGTAGAGAGCCTCGTAGTTAGTCACTTGTTATTATTCTCTTTTTAGTTTCTTATTTTTATTTTACCGCCGGGTCGGCGTAGTTTGTGAGCGTCAAGAGCACGCATCTGTAATTTCTAGAGTTGAATAAAAAGGGATTTAAACCCTTCTCAAGACTTTGTATACTTTCCAGTTCATAGCAGTCACCACTATTGTTGCGTGCAGGTTGGAAGCGCGCAACATTACAACTTTTTAGATTCTAACAGGGAGCTCCTTTGTTAGGAACAATAAAAACATATCCTTTCATACCTCTTTGTTCTTTAATGAGCTGGAGGGGGGGGAGGAATTGCTGCGAATCTCAGACGATATTGAGTTTCAGACGTTTCGGTTATTTAAACAAAAAGCTTAGCGAAGGATTTAGCCTTCTGAGGGTTAAACAGGCACACAGTTGAATATGATACATATGTCATCATAATAAGTAATTCGGAAAATTAAGGGGACTCATACAACTTAAAACCCATAACATCTTTGAATATGTGACATGGACCTTATAAAGAGATAGACTAACCCAGTGGGCGGAGCGTGCGTCACCGACATGTTGGCAAGAAAGAGTAGGGACGATCTGGTTTACTTTAACACTGAAACCTATGGCGTTTGTATCACATAACTCTTTTTAATTATTAAATGTGCTACGTTGTATAGTGATGAGATTATGAAAGCCACAGGGTTTTCCAAATAGGTATACAGTGTCTCACAAAAGTGATGGGACACTTGTGCTTTACAAAAAGAAACTGTAATAAAATAAATTAAAAAAACATGCAAAAATTTTTTGTGGGTGTGTTTCATACTTAAATTTAGTAACAATTATTACATAACATACATTTTTTCAAAATATTAAAATAGTAATTTAATAAAAATACAATTGCTTAGAACGGAGCAAAAAATAGCTCACATAAGTGATGGGACACCATTAGATACTACTACGTACTACAATAAAAATACTTTTGGGGGTTTTTATTTTTACTTAAAAGCAATTGGCAATAATTTAAAAAATCGTCTGCAGTCTTCCTCTCCAGTTTGTTTTGGAATTTTTGTGTTTTTTAGCTCTGTGCAGCCATGAATGCTAAACGAAAAACTTTGCCTGAAATTCGAAAATTAGTTATTAATTTGCATATTTAACGTGGAAAATCTATTAGAGAAACTGCTGAAACAGTTAACATCAATCATTCAACAGTTTTCGATATCATTAAACAATATAAAAAGAATCATATGATTCAGGATAAAAGAAGACCTGGCCGACCATCAAAGCTTTCCAATGGAATAAAGCGAATTATCGTTCGAAATATTAAAGAAATCCAAGAATGAGTGCTCCTAAAGTTGCTGCTGAAATTCAAAAGAAAATGCATCTATTCTTACCATAAATATTTATTTTCACTTCGTAATAATTCGTTTTATTAGAGTGATCCGTCACGTTACACTGGTAGAATCCTTCATCTTCTTTCTGGGCATTTAGGATAGTCAGTTTCTGGCGTACTATCTTTTCTTCTTTAGTAGTCGTAATAGTGTAGTCGCTCAACACTATTCTTTTAGGCTAAAATGAGAGAAAAATGTATGTATTTTACTTTCTATTGTAAACATTGCACATCTAATGCTTTGAATGTGTAATTTTAAATGTGTTAACTAAGGATTTGGTTATGAAGAGTTTTTCGTTATAAAAAATAACAAATTAAAAAAGAAAATTCTGAAAGCTTTCAGATCTTATATTACGCAAGGGGCTTTTTTTAATGTTTTGTGTGTTACCTTCATTTATTAAATATAATGTTTTTTCCATTTAAACCATAAAACTCACTTCAATATCATAAAATAATTTAAAAAGAGCTTATCTTTAGAATTTCCGATACACAGTCATGCTCGCTAAAGTTTTTTTTTCCTACAGTGTTGCCATTGCTCGGTTTGAAATCCTTAAGTTTGTTAATCAAAAATTCGTTAGAGTTTTATAAAATATGAAATAGATAATAATAAAAATATCAAATTCCAAATTTGGTCTTCCAGATGCCCATGTTCGAGTGGAAGACTACGCTATTCAAAATTGGATGTCTCTAGGTACCGTTGTTTTCTCACAATGCGAGAAACATATGTACATTCAAACAGATTCTTCATTATTTAATTTCTGTAAATATAATGCAGGGGTTTAATATTTGTTGGCAACAATTTAAAAAGTGAAATGCCCGTTTATAGAGAACCAACGCAAAATGCCGAAACGAAATTAATAGCCCTTCTGGGAAAATTGCCCCTTTGGGCTAAAAAATAGACATTTGGGATGCATAATCTCCGCTTGCTTTGTTCGTTATTCTGAAAAACTTCATTCGCTTCAGAATCTCTTACTTTCAGTTTCAGGTTGAGAGATTCAAAGTCAAAAAAATATATTTTCGGCCTAGAATGTCAGCAAAATAAATAAATAAACTCAAATTTAAATTTCGCTCACTAAATATTTTTTAAATATGCGTAATATAATAATAATAACAATAATGGAAATGGAAGAACATTAATATTTATCTTCAGTCTGAAATTTAAAGTCTGGTATCTGCACGACATTTTCGTCGGTTGCATTTTGTAATTCAAATGCAATGGCAGCTAAATATTAATATTTTAGAAAGACATTTATTTTAAATACTTTCAATGTATTTAAATAAGTTTTAACTAACTTACTTTAATTTAAACTGAAAATAAACAAATCATGAAATCTTTCCAAGTGGAACAAAACTTGAGAATAAATAAGGTCAATTTAGCCTTTTTCTCTTGTTTTTTAAAGTTTCTTCGACACAAATTAAAATGCATACGTTTGTATATAAATAATGTTGTAGAGACATTAAGTTTTTTTTTTTTTTTTTTTTTTTTTCTAAGCAGGCAAGATGAAAAATATCCAACTGCTATGAACTGGAAAGTATACAAAGTCTTGAGAAGGGATTAAATCCCTTTTTATTCAACTCTAGAAATTACAGATGCGTGCTCTTGACGCTCACAAACTACGCCGACCCGGCGGTAAAATAAAAATAAGAAACTAAAAAGAGAATAATAACAAGTGACTAACTACGAGGCTCTCTACACGTAACTAACCTAACCACGTTCTGAGATACCGGTGACAATTCAGCAAACTTCTGAATATTACGTTGAAAGATTCAACAATCTGCCGAGGCAAGCACACAGGCCGAAACGCGTGGTTCTTCAATTTCTAACTAGCCACGAAAATATGCAACTGCCAATTTCGCCGGGAACCGAAACACGGACACCTCAATTGCGCGCTGAGCATGCAGACTACTACACCACGAAAGCATGCCAAGAAGGCGGGAGAAATATCTTATAATGTTCTTTGTTCTTTTACAGCTTAACACTTAATGACGTTTCGATTTTGATAAAGTTTGTAACCTTGGAGAAAAATTACTAGAAATTACCTTAATCATGGATTAGATACGCTAGTCGGTAATCGATCTTTTTCTCTTATTAATTTTTGCCCACAGCGCCTGAGCGGTAAAATCGCTGAATACTGGTTGTTCAGAATGATGTTCAAATCCCAGCGAACGGGCTGGGTGCATGATCGTTTCCGTAGTTTTCCCCATGTATCACGTGTATATGATCTCTTTAGAAAGTCCTCCACGAAGGTATCCTTCTCCTTGGGAAGATAACTCTCATGTACTTTGCCTTAATCAACAAAACCAAATCAAACTTATTAATTTTCAACTATGCAGGAAAGCTATTCACGCACAAATGCATTTCCAAATAAAATTATTACTCCTTTAGTGCAAAAATCCTTAACTGAGCTTGTTTATTTTTTGACGAGTAAAAGTTAATAAAATACACAGTTGGCTATTAAAATTGCAACACCAGGAAAGAGTGATCTGACGAACGACAAAATCACATGAAAGGAAGAAGTTGGGATATGCATATATTAGCGTATCAACGCATTTAGACAACGCAGGGAGAAACGACATCTGTAGCACTGCATAAAAGAAAAGTTGTGTAGTGGATTTACCATTCCCGGAAAGTGCTTTGTAAGGTTGGGGTTTGCTTCGAATATCGTGTTATGCCTCGTATAAGAAGAGGAAATGCTTACCAGCAAGTTTCGAAATTCCAAAGAGACAGGATCGTTGCCTATCAAAAGTGTAGATTATCGCTCGGTGATATCACTGGTAGCACTGGTCGACATCCAACCACTGTCATGCGAATATGGAATCAATGGATTGCTGAAGCTCATACTGAATGGCATGCAGGATTTCAACGCCCTCCCATGAGAGGACAGACACATTGTGAGGTCAGCTCTGCAAAACCGTACGACCTCATCATGGACCATTAGTCACGAAATGGGCATGTTTGCAGCCCGCCTAATATCAGCTCGTCAGGTACGTTGACATTTGCAGCATCGTCGACAATCAGCACGGGGACCACTACTTCGGCTTCCCTACACAATGCAGCACAGAGGGAGACAGCGACTCTGGTGCGCCAAACGAGAAAGTTGCGTACAAGAATTGCCGCCTTTTCAAACGAGTCCCGGTTGCGTAATGACAAACTGCACATTCAGTTGATCAATGTGAAATGAATTTCGCACACTGCGCATGCCCAGAAGAGAATTTGGCGCAATTAAGACTTTGGTACAATTTTAAAAGAAGATAAATACGGTGTGTGGTTGATATTCTGTTATGTGGATATAAACAGTTCGAGATTTTGAAACTTATTATGTTGTAAGTTGCTCCATTACTTAGAGGGTAAATATCGATTGTAATTACGCAAATTTTCGTTAAGAAAGATTACAAAACAGGGAACATTACAAGATATATTAGCTGAATCTTATTGATTATACTCTAAGGAATAAGCAATTGCGATTTAGCATACGTCCCGTTCATATATACTTTAACAATTAAAGATAATCCAGTTTAAATTACTGAATCACTGAATGAGTCAAGGAAATATTATAATAACGATATTAACATAACGTTTCTGAACAAAATGAAATGAAACAGAAGCAAATGCATTAAGCACAACCAAGTTTCGGTAGTATTGCAATTGTAAACAGTTGATAAGACCTACAAGACGCGCAGGCTTTTGTAGGGTTGCTGTGGCCGCCCTTAGTCGCCAGTATTTCCTCCCACGCCAACGGTAAACCACTGAGCATGCGCAGGATGCGAAATTCGTTAACAATGATCAACTCAATGTGCGGTTTGCCATTACGTGTGTGTGTGTGATTATAGCAAAGCCTCGAGGCCTATCTGCCTAAAGGCAGGGATGCCTTCGTGGAGGACTTTCTAAGGGAAACTGGCTCGTATACACGTTACACATGGGGAAAACCACGGAAACGCCCATGCAGCAGCCGGCGGGTTCGACCTCGGACCGAACTACCAGTGTTAGCGACTTTACCGCTCGGCCGCTGGTGGGCCTTTTGCCATTTACGCGTCCCGGTTCTATGTGCAGTATTCTGATGGCCGTACGGCCATACGATGGTGTCCAAGGGGATCTCCCGTCGCCTGCTTGCATTCGATATCGACATAGGGGCCCTGCACGTGGTGTGAGGGTTTGGGCACCCATTGGGTACATGACACGCACATCTCTTGTTCGGATCGACGGTAATTTGAATGCAGATGGGTACATTTCTGACATCTTACAGAGTTGTGCTCTATTCAGTGGTTGTGCTCTATCTTTGAGGCCCCCAAAGATAGATAGAAGATAATGCAAGACCACATGTTGCACGTGTTCTAACCCTTCTCAATACACAGGGCATTCGATCGCTGCGCTGGCCCGCGATTTCTAGATCTGTTACCCATTGAAAACATGTGATCATAGGTTGCTGAGATACCGGCCTGCCACCTGTCTCCAGCGAGCCGCAGCAAGCTTCGAGAGAGTGAAGGTTGTATTTTTTGAGCTCCGCCGATTCAGTCTATAACTACGGAAATAATTATCCTGCAGTCTTAAAAGTAGTTGATTTAGAACAGAAGCAGCAAGGATTACGGTTGATACAAGATTTTCGGCTGTATGACAAATAGGCATTTAATTACGGGAATTTTCAAGATTTTACTAATTGTGTTAGCATTACAGTGCCATTTTCACCGTCCTGACCAGCTTTGTGTACCGCTACAAAACAACTGCAAGTCGGATCAGCTCATTTTTAATACCATTGAATAGCCCATGTTTTTCACTTTAATTTGGAATAAGTTTAACGTCATTGGTTAAGTAGTAATTTAAATATGAATTAATTACTGTTTCAAATAGTGTATTGAAGCAGCTTCAACTCTAGCGACCGTTAGAATACCGTTGGGTGATTCACACCCAAAGGAATTCGCATCCGGCTGAAAAAGGAGGTAGTGCCTAATACCACCATCTGCCTAATTAGACTCCTAATTCTGGATCAACTTACTTCCAACAGCAAACGTCCTTTCTACTAATAAGAAGTAAAGTTCCAAATTTCATAAAATTCGACCAATTAGAACCAAAGTTACTAATTTGTGGCATTAATTATTGGACTTACAAAAATTCAAGAAGTTAGTATGAAAAACTGAAGAAGATAAGCGTCTAATATATACACAGAAGATAGCGTCCAAGTGCAGTGTGAGTTGTGTTTGTGCAAGTGCTATTCGGTTCATTAGTGCTATTGGATTACTGTTCCTGACTTTACAGATGAAAAACAGAGAAGATAGCAGCCAAGGTAGGACAGCCTGACATTATAATTAATTTATTAATCGCAGATTAACCAACAGGTTGGCTTCAGCCAATACTTGACACTATTTTACTACTCAAAATGGTGTCTAGTATCCTCAGGTTACACCGGAAACTCGATTAATTAAAAAGTGTCTACGTAATATGTGTTAATTAATGATGTATTGTTATTCACATGCTGATTAATACCGCTAAATTTTCATAACTTCGCACAAATTGTGCGATTTTAATAATTCTCAAATTGCCTAGAAGGCTCCTGTTACCCTCCCATTAACTTGACTGTGTATTTAAGTATAGTGCTTAAATTGGTAATTGCGGTTAATTACCGGTATAGCTTATTGCACTCTTGTATTTTATAATTTATAGGCTTCTTATAGACAGCGGCACTTTAATTGTACTGTAGGTTCCCGGCACCTTGAACAATGCTAATTGCAATTAATCTAATTCCATATTTAAGTCTTTAATATTATTTTAATTAAGTTATTTATAATTTGTATACATTTCACTGTTATTTGATTAATGTCCTTTATACAACTTAAAAGGCTTCTTCAAGAGTTTATTAGTAAGTGTAAATTAGTGTGCAAAGTAGTGCTAGTAGTGACTGTGTTCAATTCAGTGATCAGCGAATTGTGCAAAATAGTGTAACGCGAACTTTACAGTTTTTATTGTAGCGAATTTCTAGTACCACTGAATAGACTCTTTACAATAGCTGCCATCGCGGTGCTCCCTTCAAATCATGCCACGTCCTTCGGCCCTTACAACTGATGGAGAATCATCTGACACACAAAGTACCTTAGACGCTTCTAAGAAATTGACTTAATTTTTTAAAATGGTAATTAGATCTGCCTTACGTAGAAAAGATTTCCATTTTATACGAAGACATTCGACAGGTAACGACCACTAAAAGAAACGCCAAATTCCTCTTACTAACAGAACTCCGTGCTCGCCTCCTAGACTCTCTGGCCGCATTACAAACGCTAGCCATAAAAGGACCAGACTTTATACCAGAAACTGCCAAAGTCGGTACCGGAGTCATACCTCAACGGGTTTGTGCGAATTAGCACATTCTCAACATCCGACTTCGGAACAGCATTCTCACAGGCCTCAACCCACCACAACTGCCACCCGACCGACATTTGCTGGATCTCAGGAAAAAAAGACACAAAGCCTTTTATACGCCGAACCCGACATTACAAGCGGAACTAAAACGCAGCTCAACGCCAAAGACCCCTCACGAAGTCAGGTGGAATAGACAAGATTATCAAAGTAACAAAGGCGGCATTGAAGGTAATCTGTAACACCAGCGACGATGCCACAGCTCTCGAGCAGCAATCAGCAAAAAGAAATCCCGGCGGAAATCAGTAGACTTGGAAGGCGCAAGCCAAGATGTGCAATTCACGACCTGCAGAGTCTACAAAACGGAAGTGCGAGGAAATCAGCGCTGCTACAAACATGCCAATAACACCTTCAAGCCCCTCCACCGTCTCAGAGAACGACGTAAGGAAAAGTCAAGTGGGTATTCGAATGTGAGCCCCACAAGCTTTTGCCATCATGCAGCAAAGGAAGATCTTCTTGGGATGGCAGGCCCACAAAGTCACGAGTACTCTGGCATCAAGAAGATGCTACAGAGTCAGCAGTACGGGGCATACGCAGGCAGACTGCAAAAGCCAAAAGCAATACTGTTCATCTGCGCTGGAGAACATGGGGTTTGGGAAGCAATGCACATCAACCGCAGTTGCATTAACTGCGGGGACGCAAACTCACGCTATGGATCAAGACATAATTTTACCACCCAGCCTACCACCCGACTGTCCCGCAGTACCAGCGAAGAGTGCAGACCATCAGAGACAGTACAGAGTACTAGAAGCCTGCCAGCGCCTTTAATGCGCTCAACAGCAACCTCACGTCCCGACGAAAGTTTCCAAAAAATAAATACGGCTAATATAGCACAGAGCCCAATTGCATTCCTACAGATAAATTTACAGAGGGCACAAGCAGCGACAAATAGAGCAGTAGCTTTGCCATCGAGCACAGTATCGACTTCATTCTATCACAAGAACCGTACACACGAAATGGCCAAGCGTGGATTCCCACTTAAATGGACGATATATCAGCAGCAAGATAAGACGCAAACCGCCCCGCGCTATCCTAGTATGTTGTCAACCTAACTGGACTCCTCTGATTATTGAGCAGCAAAGAGACTTAAGTGCAGTCCTTCTTCAAGCCGCAACTTCTCCCTTCTTCTCATTTCGCATATTGCTTCCCCAGCTGAGGATTTAGAAACCACGATTGAAACTAGCACAGTCAGTTCTCCAACGAACCAAGCTGTCAAACGTCATCATAGCTGGAGATTACAACGCTCATACCAACTGGGGCTACAACAGTACCGACACCAAGGAAGACAACTTGAGGATTCATATCAACACATAAATCTCATTCTCCATAATTCCATAGATTCTCCCCAACCTTTGACAGAATTTTGCTGTTGGCTGGCCGGATTTGACCCCTCTCTACGGTGCCGATAGCACAGCATGTGCAGGACTGGAAGGTAGAAGAAGCTGATAGCTTATCAACCACAAATTTATCACCTTCAAATCAATAGCCTACCACAAATAGAATTATTAAACGTTTTAACATGCCATCAAATAAGAAGCGACAGTTCTCTCGGAAAATTGATCAAAGATTAAGCAATCTAACCCCAGTCCTAAAAAATGCCAATACACAAAGTGATATGGAATCGCTAACCGACAACATCATGAAAACCCTTTATGACACCTGCGAAGAGCTCTTACCAACAAGATCCAAAAAGAAATTAAACGCAACTAACTGGTGGAACACAGAGCTAACCATCCAACGGAAAAAAATGCTGTGCGCTCAAACGCAGATTAAAGCAGGAACGGCGTAATGAAATCCAGAGCGCCACCCTACCTATCTTTCAAAGAGAGCGAGCATTATATAAACGACTAATAATCAAGGCCAAGATCCATTCCTGGCAAAAATTTTGTACTGAAACGGAAGGTAATTTACGGGCTGCACCACAAAATAGCTACTAACAAGCTCTTTAAACCCGTGCGTCTTCAATTCATACCATCAGAGAAATCAGTAATTACGGAAGAATCCGCCAAAAATACGCTAGAAAATATCCTGGACCATGTCTTTAATCAAGATGACAATTCTTACGACTCGGAATATCATAAATCTCTACGCAGTAACAAATCTACTCCGTCTACTGCAGACGATCCAGACTTCACCATGCAAGAAGTTTTACAAGTCCTAAAATTCCTTCCCAATAACAAGGCACCGGGACCAGACGGGATAAACTATCAAATCATCAAAACAGCAATAAGAGCATCTTTGCCACTTTTTATAGCCTTCTTTAATAAGCTGCTACAAACAGGTACGTTCCCAAAAGCATTCAAGGTCGGCCAGGTCGTATTATTCCTAAAAAAGGATCGCGATCCTTCAGATCCATCCTCGTACCGACCGATCTGCTTACTTTCGGCTCTCGGAAAAGTATATGAGAAGCTTCTAATGAATCGCTTACGACACCACTTAGAAAGAGGCCAATATCTACACCCCAAGCAATATGGATTTCGAACAGGGTCATCAACACTGCATGCACTCCACGATATACATTCAGCTATACACGATAATCGCAACCACGGCTATCATACTGCTCTAATCAGTATAGACCTGAAAAGTGCATTTGATATGCTGTGGTGGCCCTCAATTTTAGAAGCACTCAGAACAGTTCAATGTCCACGCAATATTTTCCTTACTTTGCGACATTACCTAACGGACCGTTGCCTTCTAATAGTGCACGACAGTGGGATTATCAAGCGTACCCAAACCAGAGGATGTCCACAGGGGTCCTGTGCAGGCCCCCATTTGTGGAACGCAACCTTCAACTCAGTCCTAAAATTCACACTGCCAACGCATTCCTCCATATTCGCATATGCAGACGATGTTGCTCTACTTGTCCGAGGACGTACTAGAGCAGAATTGGAGGCCAACTCAAACGAAGTTTGCAATCTATTCTACCAGCAATGCAACAGACAAAAACTCCAAGTAGCAGAGCACAAATGTCAAATTCTACTAATCGCAAAGAAGGAGGATCACTGACTAGAAGACCGACAATCCGCATCAACAATCGTCGAATTAAAATTGTCCGTGTCCTGAGATACCTCGGTCTATACATAGATGAAAAACTGACATGGATGCCGCACATACTTAATTTAAGGAAGCGTACAGCAATCATAGCACAGCATTTCAGAATGCAACGCGGATTTCATTGGGGGATTAATTCTCACATACAAAAAAGCGTTATATCTTACTGTCGTCGAGAAGATGGTGTCCTATGGAGCGGCCATTTGGGCCTTCCCTATGCAGGGAAGGAAAATCCGGCACCTGTCTGCACTACAGAGGCCCTTCCTACTCTCAATTACAAGGAGCCTTCAGGGACAACATCTACTGATGCACTAAACATCTTGGCAGGAGTGCTACCACTTCATCTACGCATAGAAGAAGAAGCGGGTGACCACAACAGGTTCAGCAGTTAAGACTTTCACTTACTTATGATTACGTTACCTTCTCTCAAGAACAGTTTGAGAATAAGACCTCACAACTTCATATACACCCAGCAATCAAGGGTATTGGAATTCACCTCACGAAGAACCCAGCATATGTGGCACCATCCGGCTACATCTCCATCTACACAGATGGTTCTCGTATTGACGAAAAGGTAGGCAGCGCGCCTTTGTCGTGCTCAGTGAACAACAACAACCCCTTCACCAATGGCAGATGCAGCTCAGCACTGAAAACAGCGTTTTCCAGAGTGAAGCACTCGCCATTCACGAGGCCATACGCTATCTAACGAATAATAAAATCTCCAAAGCCTTAATACATACAGATAGCCTGTCTTCTATGCAAGCAATTGCCAATTCAGAACATACCTCCCCGCAAATAGCAGGCATTCAAAAAAGTCTACGTGAAAATGCTCACAATCATTACGTCATAAAATGGATTAAAGCGCACACAGGTATTTATGGCAATGAAACTTGCAGACGGCCTGGCAAAAGACGCCGCCACTGGGAACAACATTACTACAGTACAGATCCCATGGCCTACCTCATATCTAAAAAGACCTTACGGCAAATTGTTTGCAATAAATGGCAGCAGGAGTGGACGAACAGCTTTAACCGGCAGAAGAACTTTTTACTTCAAGCCAAAAGTAGATTTACAAAGACTTATCGCCAGTCCCCTCTTGGTACGTTACATATCCGGTCATGGCCCCTTCCCACAGTACTATCATCGACACGCTATCACCAGCACTGACGAATGCATCTGTGGCGAAGAGGGCACAGCAGACCATTACATCACTGCATGTCCCCTTACAGAGGACCACCATATTGCCATTCCTATAACGGATAGGCAGGCCTTCTGCAGGTTCCTCGTTAAGCATAAGCCAACAATACGCCAAATCACTGCCGTCATGTCAAAGCTAATGACACTTGGCACAGAATTGTGTCAAACTGCTTAATGTAACTTATGGTGTCAAGCAGCATAGTGACTACTACATAGGAATCACAAATTTATGCATGTACTATGCCTATTTTTCACATCAGACTATTTATATACAGACTGCAACCCAATCTGCAGATTACCTTTCCTTGTGCAATTAGTAATGTTACAATATTTCAACATAGTGACCTTTTCTTGCATGTATATTACATGCAAATTTATAACCTGCATTATATAATAATGTGTGTAGTATGTGAAATGCAGGTTTGTAATATGCACTATGTAAAACTTGGCACAGAATTGTAAGAAACTGCTTAATGTATCCTTCAGTAATTGTAAACTGTACTATTTAATGTGTGTAATATGTACCATGCTAATATTGTAGTAATATGTACCATGCTAAATTATTATATTATGTACCATGCTAAATATACTAAGTAATTGTAAACTGTAAATGCGTGTAATATGTACCATGCTAATATTCTAAGTAATTGTAATCTGTAAATGTGTGTAATATGTACCATGTCTCAGTAATATGTGTAATATGTACCATGTCTCAGTAATTGTGTGTATATGTACCATCATATGTGTAATATGTACCATGCTAACACTCTCAGCACTTAAACTTAAGCACTATGCAATCTCTCACTAAATGTTTAATGTACTATGAAATGTGTGTTATATGTACCATGCAAGTATCAATTAATATTATTAACTATTAATGAACTTCTTAGTAAATATAATCAGTCTTATGTAATGTATGTACTATCTATCATGCAAGTCTGTAAATAATAATGAATGCATAATGTTAACCTAAGTACCTAATTAAGTATGATTACGTAAATATGAACTCAACGGATGCAACGTACCTTAAACATAAGTTATATTCAATTTCCAGGTAAACGCAATATATAGTATGTAATGTGTAAAAATATATATCATGCAATATGAATGTTTATGTATCATACAAGCCTGGATTTGCAAGTCTGAACGTATTAAGTACTTTAAAGACAAGTATTCATCAATCACTCAATAAATGTAAACTGTACTATAATAAGCAAGTAATATGCACCATGCAAGTATTAATTAATATCATAAACTATTAATTAATTTCTTAGTAAATGTAATCAATATTATGTAATGTGTGTACTATGTACCATGCAAGTCTGTAAACAATAATGAATGCATAATTATGTTTAATTAATATTAAAATATTGAACCTTGCGGATGCAACGTACCTTAAACATAAGTAAAAACAATTTCTGAGTAAATGCAATATATAGTATGTAACGTGTGAGAATATGTACCATGCAATATGAATGTATATGCATCAAGCAAGTTTGAATAGGGTATAGAACATATAATAGTCATGCAAGTCAGAATATGGTAATAGGTAAATGCAATTCTGCAAGTCTGAACATAACGAAATTAAGTACTATTAAGTTTCTCAGTAATTGTAATCTGTACTATTTAATGTGTGCAACATGTACCATGTTAATATTATTGTAATATGTAACATGCTAATTTTCTCAGCAATTGTATTTTTTTTTTTAACTGTAAATTGTAAATGTGTGTAATATGTACCATGCAAATATACCCATGTCTCAGTAAGTAATTGTGTGTAATATGTACCATGTCAATATTAACATACTATTTAATGTG